TTTGGCAAAGAGGTCTACACTCCCCAAGCAGAGCAATTCATATTTCCATTTTCTCCTTGTATGCAGGCCAGGAGACATTTCCACTGATACTCTAATTTGCATTTCTGTAAACAGTTGGCTGTGCATGGAAATGGTGTCTTAGAGGGAAATAAAAAGTCCGGAGGTAGGAACGAACAACTCAGTCTATGCTGCTGTCAGGCAACAGGACAACATTTTGTAAAAAGAGACCACCTGGAGATGTGATAAAGGTCTACAGAACTATGAAGGAGACGGAAATCTGGGATAAGGATGAGTGTCTAGCCCTTGTTTTCCCATAAAGTAATCAGAAGTCATCAAATGAAACCAGGCTCAGGGTGGGAGACTAGGAGGGATAAGTCTCAAACACACTTATCTTTTCTTCCATGCTGATGGACATCTGCTGACAGCCACGAGTGACAAAAGGACGCTCACCAGGCAGACCTCTGGTTTGCCCTAGACGGGCTGTAATTAAGTGCTTATGTGCTCACATGAGCTCACCCACCTATGCTCACTGCAAGCTGAAAATTTACAGGAAAACCAGGTGCTTAATTCCATATCTACATAAGTTACTAGGCTGCTACTCAGAACACGTCCTCTAAGCCTGCTTAGGAACGTCACGGTGTAAAACCGCAGGCACTGCTACGTGCGGTAACATGAAGCGAATCTCAGCCTGGCATACCTAAATCTGTGTCCTTCATGATGAGCCAGAGAAGATAAGCCCATAGTCCTTCAGATCTGGTCCTATGCTTTGTTCTTTCCACTGTCTCCATCGCCGAGCAGAAGAACAGTATCGGGATTCCATAATGTTTAACCAAAAAAATCCCCACTTGTGTTTCAGTATTATTTTCTGTTGTTAATAAAAATGGTTCTACATCTCTGACCTTATCTGAATAATCCTCCCTCATGATTCCATCTTCACTTTTCCTTTATTCCTTTCCTTCACTTTTCCTTATTTCATTATGATCAGAAGAAACCTTCTCTTTACAGGGTCCAATTTAAATTCGCAGAAGTGCCTCAATTTGTTTCAGAAGCAGAATCTTGCAGCAGCTTTTAGAATTTTCCTCTGCCCAAATTCAAAGCAGCAAACAGTTCTGTCTTCAGAAGAAGCAGTCATCCTCAAAAAAAACCCCACCTGACAGGTAAAGCAATTCATCATATCATAATAATATGTTCCAATAGTACGACAAAGTCAGGCTGGATTCTGTTGCTTATTTCAGTGATGCCAGGTTTTAATGTCTCAAAAAGTACTGTAAGTATTTCTGCAGAAGTTATCTCAGCATAGAAAGAAAGATATTTTAAAATGTAATTGCATGTAAGGACAAGGGGAGCTCATAAAAATCCTGTGCTAGCACCTATCATTTCTACAACGTGTTAGCTCCTACTCCTATCATGTCTTAAAATGAAAAAAAAAAAGTCAAAGCCTAAAGACACAAGGATGGAAAATCACAGACCAAATGACTTCCACCAGAAGTGGAAATTTAGAAAGAGTCACATAATAATAACAGCAGCAGAAGTACGACGGGACAGAAGAAAATAATCCCAAGAAATAGAGTATTTATGTACACCAAAGCCCTACAGATTCCATGAAGCTAAGTGCATTTTGTAAACATTCGATGTTTTTCTGTTTCTTTAATTAATAAAGTGTTTTCTGTTGAGGAAAAGCAGTGTTGTGCCATCGAGGGAAAGGGGCTCTCCCACTCACCTGTGACTCATTTCACAGTAGCATCTCACCAGTTTGGAGTTTCCCCTGGCATGACCGGCGGCCGAGGCAGTATATAAGCAGGGCAGGTCCTGGAGCACGGGCACTGGCCACCCCTGGGGCTGCAGGAGTCTCCTCGCTACAGAACCAGCCCAGGCCACACGGGGAACCAACTCTCCTGCATCATGATGGGCAAGGCTGCGGCTGTGCTCCTGACCCTCCTCCTGATCTCGGTGCTTGGAACGAAAGGTGAGGAGCTCTCCTCCTTCCTGGAGCTCTCCTAACGCCCTGCTGGTGTCAGCGCCGACGGAGGAGCTGCCATGCTGTCCTGCAAGTGCAGCAAACAACTATTCTAACACCGTAAGCAAAAAGAACATCTTCTCTTTTCTGTGGAAGCAGCGAAACAGCCCGCCTTGTTTCTTTCTTGTTTTACAGGCAAGGCCCTGCCACGCTCAGCGGTCGAACTGCGGTGCCAGTGCATAGGCACCTACTCCAAGTTCATCCATCCCAAGTTCATTCAGAACGTCAACCTCACCCCCAGCGGGCCTCACTGCAAGAACGTCGAAGTCATGTAAGTGTTTTTGCAAAATCCTCCCGATTACTTAGCAAGAAGGAAGCAGATTTGACACGAGGGATGATGTAAATGTTCTCTGAACAGTGGAGGAACCAGCAGCTACGCGTTCTAAGTTGCGTGTTCTTTGTGCCTATCTCTGCTTTTTAAACACCCCAGGCAATAATTTAACCTAAACCCACAGTCATCAGGCAGCAAATAACTTCCTAAAGCTCTGCATTCCACCAACATAGCAGAAGAGAATTAAACTTGCTGAGCAGGTGATCGAAACATGATTTTTAATGTTAGCTGAAAAATATGATCACACTTCTACTGAAGTCAATGAAAAAACTACCTCTAGATACAAATCCTGCGATCCAGAACTCTCACTGTAACAAAATTCCCATGGACAAGGCAGTACAGTTTCTGAATCAAGATGGAAAGGTTTAGTCCTTTGAATCAGTTGAATCAAGATGGAAAGGTTCAACACCATCACAAATACAGGGCTAGCTGGAGGAAAAAAAAGAAGTAATTTTGATACAAGTGAGAGTCCTGCAAATAGAACAGAATCACAGAAGGGTTTGGGTTGGAAGGGACCTCAAAGATCATCTCGGTCCAACCCTCCTGCCATGGGCAGGGACACCCTCCACTACACCAGGCTGCCCAAAGCCCCATCCAACCTGGCCTTGAACACTGCCAGGGATGGGGCAGCCACAGCTTCTCTGGGCAACCTGTTCCAGTGCCTCAGCACCCTCTGAGTGAAAAATTTCTTCCTTATATCTAATCTTAATGCAGTCAGACAAACAGATACGAGAAGATACGAAACCATTAAAACCCCCCCAACTTTACACTAGGCTACAGCCTCAGCTGACTCAGCTGAAAGGAGAGAAGGTGTAAGTGTACACCTAGAGTGATGTTACAAAAGGGAAACTGCCTCGGAATTCACCAAGTAGACCTTTTCCCTTCCTTTTTCCTCTGCTGCAGAGCCACCCTGACTGACGGCAGAGAAGTGTGCCTGGAGCCCACGGCTCTCTGGGTGAAGCGGATCATCAAGGAAATTCTGGACAAGTGAGTCACTCGTTCTCAGCGCGCGCCGCGTATCAAAAAATCAGATTTTAAACGAGCCAGCAAGCATGTTCGGTGTAAAGCATTCCAAAATTCTGTCTCCTCAGGCAGTTCCTACTGGTTGTGTTCTCTAACTGGGACGAACACTGTGACAGCTTTGAGCTTTAATTTTAGCAGTAGCTTCAGCCCCTCACCGTGCCACACATCCCACGTCTCTCGGAAGGCACAAGCGTAGTGAAAACCTGCAGCTCGAGTGCTCAGGAAATCCAGGCGTGAACTGACTGGTTTTCCCTGGCTTGCCATGGCAGAAAGCAACGATTAGTTTGGATGAGTGGGGGGAAATGAGGCCCCAGAGGGGCCAAGTGAAGCGTCGCAGTACTACTCAGTAGTAGTACTCTACTCACAGCTGCTGAGTACTCGTGGGAAGGTCCCACCGTACCGGTGTCCCTCGGGTCCAGCGACAGCTTTGAAGGGCCTCGGACACAGAAGCACAAACCCTTAGTGGTGGATTTCACCTGATTCCAGCGAGTGATACCTGTTCCATGGACAAGATCTAATTGTCTCCTTTTCCATTTTCTTTCTCTCTAGGGCAAACGCCAAACCTGAGACAGTGTCCTAAGATGAAGAAGAAAAACATCCTAACTCTTCCAGGAATACCCTGGGAGAGATGCTCATCCAGCTTCTGGCAGCTCACCTCCTCCTGCCTCCTACATTCACACTTCTAACAGCACCCAGACAGTACGGATTCCCTGGTTTTGTAGTTAGCAGACAACAGTACCTTAAGTCTTTTAAAGAGGTCTCGTTATGTGGGAGAGAAACCACTGACACCAGAAAAAGCTGGCACAAAAACTGGCTGGTGAAAGGAGACGGAGACGCTTCTGGAGTCATTTTTGCTAAACACAGCTGGATCGGTGCAGTGCACTTTGGGCAAAGCTTTCACCAGATGACACCTTCCCTTTTTGCTAACGGTTTAGGAACAGACGGGTGACTCCTTCTCCCCAGGAAGGCACGGACAGGTAGCACCAACTGTGCCTATGGCACTGCCGCTCGGAGCGGGCGACTGACCGGGAGAGGGCAGCTGGCAAAATCCAGGAGCCAAAATTCTGAGACTCCAGTTTTTGTGCCATTGTTTTCAGGATATTATTTATTGTGAATTAGCGTTGTGAAGGTATAAACATATATTGTAATGCCATCTTTTGGTTAGAAAAAAGCACTTTATTTTTTTATGTTTATATTTTAATTTATTGACTCGTGCATATTTATTTACTTTTGCATAAGAATGGAGTAGGTCTTCAATATCTATTTATTTATTTATTTATCTATCTATCTATCTGTGGGAAAGTATTTATGTTTATATGCCTAATAAATGCTTGTTGAAACGTTTCACTGCAATATTGTGTGTTATTAATTTCCGTATTGGAACACAGAACTGAAAAAGAGGATGCATTTTCTTTCGTTTTGTATCACAAAAAGTGTTCTCAGAAGGGCAAGTGGTGGCTGAGTTGTCGGGGACAGCTAATTATAAGAGGAAATTCTTGCCTCTGGGGAGTGCAGATCGTTTTCGATAGAGGGAATTATAAAAGTGATCTACTTTCTTCCTCTTTTTTTTCCCAGACTCAGTGTTTCCAGAGGTCTGGGTGATAAAATTCATGGATAGAAAATAACAAAAAAATAATGGTTAGTCACAGAAAGTCCAAGGCCACAGCAGGCGTCAGCTGAGAGTCTGGCACTGACCAAGGTTTTTCCTTAACCTAAATAAGGAGGGAAACCTGGGAAAGTGAGCATCCTCCCCAATTCCAGCGAGGAGGGAGGGCTGGACCAGGAGAAATCCCAAGAAACAGAGCTCCTACTGTACAGCCACGCATCTGCCTGTGACACAAAGAAACGGCTGGAATATGAGAGGCAAACACTTGAGCAAATGGAAAAGTTGAGCAAAAGTTTTGATGTTTGTTTTCCTTCACTCTTTTCCCATAAGGAGCTACTCCACATTCTGCACAAGCAGCTCCTGTTTGCTCACGGTGCAAGATAAAAAGGGAGTTTCTGGTACTGTTTGAGCGAGCTCTTGTGCAAGATGACAACTGTTCCCACCACGCTTCGCTCCCTGTGCCCATCCCTGCCCCTGTCCCCCAGCACCGCGTTCCACAGCCTGCTAGACCTGATCCTCAGAATGCCAGGGACAGAAAAGTTTCTCAAGGCAACAGGTGTTGTTCAGACTTGTGTTATGACACTAAGCCTTCCTGTTTTCTGAGGGGTTTTCACAAGTGGGATTCTTGCAGATATCTAATTTGGAGCTCAGCAGGTCAGAAATACCAGCCAAGAATGGGGAGAGGCGGGGAGCAATCACTTTCTCTGCAGGTCCATAAAAGTATGTGTGTATCCTAAAGGACTGGCACCAGTTTTAGTGCTGTACAGACACTTACAGTAAGCCAGCCAAATCCCAGTCACGTTACTGGGAGCTGAATCACGGCCAAGGAAAGGCTCTTCTCATAAATTCTTCTGGCCAAAACGTCAGCAAGGGCTGTGCTCCCAGGACCCCGGGCAGGGCACCCGCACAGCGGCCAAACCAGAGCCCTTCTTTCTCCATAGCTTACCGCTCATCGGGGAGACGTGGCTCAGAGGCTGGCTAGAGATGATAAAATATTGCATTTCTTTTCCGTGTCAACTCACAAGCCACCCTTCTTATGGGAACAAGAACCCTCACGCTCTCAAAAACACATTTTGGTGCTCTCAGAGGCTGAGAAGAGAAGCACTGCAGCTCTTCTGACTTGATGACCACCTTTGTCAAACGTGGGCTGTTCTTTTGTCTTGTTTCTGCTTTGCTAATACTGTCTTTCCAAAGCTGAACCCGGACTCCGTGAAATTACTAATTCTCCTGCCAAAATGTTTTTATGTTGAGACCCTTAACAATTAAACTGGTAATGAACTAGTTAACATCTTAGCTAACATATCCAAAGTGTTGTCCTGCTTCCCAGGGAGCAAAAGGCAGACCCTTTACATGGTCAGGAGAAACTGCCATCTCCCCTACACACAACACCAAGGCTCTCGTTTGGCAGCCTCCTGCTATTCAAAACCCAACCGCTTGCTTCCTTTCGGTAACGTACTGAAATCCATACGGATAACATGTTTTACCAGATCACAGTTTGGTCCAGTTTCTTTCCTTGAGACCACCTTTTTTTTCACCTCACAAAAATAAGACTATCCAATAGCCCAATGACTAAACTATCCACACTGCAGAAAGGGATTCCTGAGGAATACTCAAGAGATTTCACTTATGACATGTATTTATCTTCCGGTTTAAAGACCTGTGACTATTCCAGACACAAGAGGTTAGAAAGGAAAACGTGTAACTTCCTGAGTGCTCATATTATTCAGGTGTTATTACAACTCTTACTGTCAGATATTTTCTTTTGTCATATTTGGAACAAACAACATTTTCAGAAGAGCTTAAGTGACTTAGGTGACAATGCCTCAGTCATTTTAAGCTCTTTGTTTCTTGTTCAATGACTAGAAAAGCTTTTCAGTACGGAATTAAGCATCTAAATCCCTTCAGCCAAACTGATACCGACAAAATCCTTTCAAAGAACACCGGAACTACTTGTGTCTTGCCTTCATAAGACACTGGGTAAACAACATCGTTAGAGTCATACCGAAACATACTCCACAAGATTGGGATGAAAAGTTCCCGCAGTTATGTTTGGTGAAAGTTTTTGCACGAGGCATCTAAACTTGATGCAAAGAGCTGAACAGAAACTCTACATTCAGAGAGGGGGGAAAAAAAGGCTCCTTATTTTTGGGTGTGGGGACGCCTGGTAAAGCTGTATTGATTCCCAAGTGCAAAATCAGCATTGTTGCTTAAAACTAATTCATAGATTTCAGAGATTTCTAGGTTGGAAAAGACCTTAGAGATCATCAAGTCCAACCGTCCCTAATCCCCATTAAACCATATCCCTAAGTAGATCATCCACCCTATTCTTAAACACATCCAGGGATGGGGACTCAACCACCTCCCTGGGCAGCCTATTCCAGGGGCTGACAACTCTTTCAGAGAAGAAATACTTCCTAACATCCAACCTGAATCTCCCCTGGCTAAGCTTATACCCATTTCCTCGTGTAACTAATATCCCAGGAAGAAGCGCAAAACAGAAAGCGATGGGCAATACTCACAGTTTAAAGAAGTAATAAAAACTACACAGCAGCAGAAGTACGTTAGGGAATTCTGAAGTGCCACTGTGCAGAGATTGGGATTTCTTACGCAACGCTCCCACTCATCGGGAAAGCTGTGTGCACGGACGCCCGTGTCGTGCTGGAGCGTGCCAGTTCAGCACTGGGGCTGCTGGGAGCGCGCCTTTCCAGTACAACACCCCATGTGAAACAGAACCGGAGCAGGACCTCTGTCATGGAGAAAACTTCGGCACAGCCATGGGTGGCAACTCTGTGGCTGTTGCTCTGGTTCTCTACCTGGTCTTAACGGCAGGGTCAGAAGGTAAGAAAATAATTTCTGAAAACTCAAAGATGCGCATCTTGAATGAACCATCATGCAGAAATAAGAAGTCTCATTTGTGTTTGAGGATGTCAGGATGCTGTGGCCATTTCTGGGGGTAAAATATGCTTCTGTCAGGAAATTAGTGTATTCTTACGCCATAATATTTGCCTAATCCTAGATTTTAAGAAATGTTTGAATTAAGACAGGACTTTCTTCTAAATGTGTCCACACTTCTCTTTTCCAAATGACAGCTTTCTCCTATTTGTCCTTTTATTCTTGGTAGGCAGGTTGATGACAGTGCTTCCTCAAAGCAAGAATTAGGCAATTTGCAGAAGAGAATAAAGAATATGAGCAGAGGATCACGGCAGAAACTAGAAAGCAATATGGAGACATAGTTAATGACGTTGATTTACTTTGTTCAAGTGATGTAATTTAGGTGTAGAATCTGGCCAGGCACAAATGCACTATGAAAACATCTAGATATTTTCACTTGGAGATACAAGTTTAACTTTAAATGCATCTGCATGCCAACAGCTCTGAAAATGTAACCGCTGCTGCTGTGCAGATGCAGTTAATTTATCTCAAAGCCTTCAGGCAATCCGAGTGTCCGAGCAACAAGAATAAGGCTGACAGAAGGCAATACTCTGCTTCAGAGGAGCAAATAATGGAACTGTTCATTGACCCAGACATAAGTCATTTTTTTCCTACAGGTAAGACCCTGGTGAAGACAGAGGAAGAAGGCTTCCAGTGCTTGTGCACACACACTCACTCCAAGTTCATCCCTCCCAAGGCTATTCGGAACGTGAGATTAAGCCAAAGAGGACCTTGCTGCAAAAATGTGGGAATCGCGTGAGCACTTTTGCAAAACAGCATCTTGTTTTCAGTAAGGGGAAGTGACTTGTCATTTCACACCCTAGCGAATATAATTCTATGTATTTATAGCATTCTATATATTTATTTCTTTCACCTGATTTACTCGAGGTGGAATTATAGATCCCCTGCAAAGCCTCACAGACACCAAGTATAAGGCAGAGAAGGCCTTCTGTCCAAAGGAGTGAGCGGATTTCCTGCCAATGCTACAAGCCAATTCCAGACAGTATTTTAAAAATCTCTCTGTGATAACCATCATCATCGGA